TGGGGGTCTCCGGGAGGCCCGGGCCGGCGCCCGCCGCCCCCCGCCGGACCCTCCGCGCAGGTGGGCTTGGGCTCAGCCTGGCTGCAGCCTCTGTGATCGCGGGGAAGCCCGTGACCTGAGTTTCGAGTCCTCCTTTGAACTTTTTAGAAATGCGACTCCGGGAAGCGAGTTCATCAGGGAGTGGTAGATAAGTTAGCATTTTTACCGAAAGACTACAGATTGCGCTTACCTGCCCCGCAGGTTCCTCGGTATTGGGAGGCAAGAGGCTTCCTTTTCTGTACAAAGGCGTCGTCGAGCAAATTAAACTGTGGGAGTGAGACTCTTTTAAGACCCCTTATGGGCCAGCGGTGAAGCCACTTGAAAACTTTAAAATGAGAAACTTACCTTCTCACCAGAGATCACTGTGGGGCCGTCAGAAACGTCTTTTTATCCTTATCTTTTTTTCTTCTTGGTCTTTTCGAGACAGGCATTCGCTGTGCAAATCAGGCTGGGCTTGAACTCGCTCTATACCCCAGCCTGGCCTCGAACTCACAGCGATCCTCCTGTCTCAGCCTCCCAGTTGCTGCGATTACAGGCATGCACCACCACGTCCGGCCCTTTTTATCTTTTTCTGGAGGAGGGAAGAATGATAGGGTCCGGTTTACATTGTTTATTTAACTGTTTATGACCTTTGCTCAGGCTATGGGTTTGGGCACCAAGGACATTTTGTGGGCAGACGTGGTTTTTATCTTCTGTTTGGAAGAAGCAAGTGCTTTCTTGAAAAACACGTATTGTTCAGGATGTGGGTCTGGTACATTTGTGCAAGTTCTGCGTAATGACCTCGTTAAAGGTACTGTGTTCTCTTTAATGTAGCATATCATGTACCATCTGTCCAGGTGGGGAAGTGACATGGGGACCTTCAGGCCGGCCACAGCACGGACTTTTTGAACTCTGAAGCACTTTTGGGAAATAATTGTCAATGCTCTTAGAGTAACAAGAATTTGGAAACCAGTGAAGTCATAAATAAGGTCACCTTTTGTGGGGGGAGGTGGTTAAGACAGGTTTTGCTATGCAGCTCAGGCTGGCCTTGAACTCACAGCAATCCTCCTGCCTCAGCCTCCCAAGTGCTGGGATTACAGGCTTGTGCTACTACGCCAGGCTGAATTCAGGTCTTTTATTTTTTTATTTTTGGTACCGGGAATTGAACTCAGGACCTCGCGCTTGCGAGACAGGCGCTTGTGCCGCTGATCTATATCCCCGGCCTGAGGTCTTTTATTGAAAAGGAAAACTTGCCCATTTCTTATAATAGAACTGAGGTAAGTTAAATTAAAAGAAATCCACTTTTATAACTAGGTTCAGGTTTTGAACTTGAACACTTTACCTTGGATTTATTAACTCCTGCCTGGCCTCTGTTGACTGGTAAGAGTGTAAACAGAACGGCCAAACATTTGCCATGAAGTTGGTCCTTCCATTTGTCAAGTGCCAAGGTGTTTGTTTGTTTTGTTTTGGTTTGGTTTTTCTCCGGTACCGGAAACCGAACTCACGACTTTGCGCTTGCCAGGCAGGCGCTTTTGCCACTGAGCTAAATCCCCAGCCCCTGTCAAGTGCCGAGGTGTACATGCCTCTCTTTCCCACATCACTGTATTTGATGCTCTTTTACTGGATCCTAGTGTTTTAGTTACTGAGTAACTCAGACTAAGGAGCCAAAAATAACTATTTAGCTTTAGTTAGGACTACCCTTTCAGCACATGTAAACATTTCCAAATTGTATTTAGAAATCCAGACGTCTTAGAATTCATGGTAAAATATTCCAGACTCTTATCAAAAGGTTAGGATTACTGCAAATGTTTTTAGGTGAAAGGTCAGAATTTCACTTGCAGATTTTTCACCCAGTAAAAGTTTTGAGCCCCAAAGTAGAAATTATTGTTGTAAAATTCTAGGTGAAATTTATAGCAAAGTTGGCATGTACGCCAGGCACCAGTACTGTTTGTTGTACAGAATACAATGACTGTAAGATTAGACATTCCTGAGCCCTAACAGGTCACTGGCTAGCTGTGCCCCGGGCAAGTTATTGTACTTTATAGGGACTCTGTTTCCTGATACATTGATTGGGGACAGCAAACATGTGAATGTGGCCACTTTGTACATATTAGATAATAAATGTAAATTCTTTACCTCCTGGCCAGAGTACCATAGTTACTGTAAGATACTATTTTTTGAATGCCTTTGCAATATTTGGATGATATTTCTTGTAGTTTGATGATGGGAGAAGTGCACTGGAGGCACTACTGCGATTTTCAGTGTGTGAGACTTGAGGCTACCGAGGCTACTGGATCCGGAATATAATTAACACCAATATTGTTGAGCACTCAAGGCTGTCTGTCATTGTTGCTGGGTTTTTTTTCCTGAGACAGGGTCTTGCTGTGTAGTTTAGGCTGGCTCTGAACTCACTATGTGTGTAGCCCAGGCTGGCCTCAAAACTGTGGGGAATCGGGGCGTGGCAGGACATGCCTGCAATCCCAGCATTTGGGAGGCAGAGGCAGGAGAATCACTGCGGGTTCAAGGCCAGCCTGGGCGGCTCCGTATGGAGTTCAAGGCCAGCCTGAACTGCACAGTGATACCTGTCTCAAAAAAAAAAAAAAGAAAGAAGGAAGGAAGGAAGAAAAGAAAAGAACTGTGAAAAATCCTCCTGCCTTACCCCATAAGTGCTGGGATAAGGGCATGTGCCACCTTTTCTTACTTGTCTTTTAGTCAGACTGGAGTTTTTCCTTTCTTCTTCAACTCTTACCTTAGTGTTGGTTAGTGTGATATCATCACTGTCAGTAGCCCCCACTGTATGGTGTTCAGGTGCTACTTCTCTGTTACCAAAAAGATGTGCAGCATATGAGGTCAAATATGTTTTTAGCTGAAATCTATCAAGTGTATTTAGCCAGTGTGGTTTAATTTGATGGGAGAGGGGGAAAGAAATCACTGAGAACCGAGGACCATGTGTGTATAAAAACACATTGTACATCTGAGAGATGAGTCTTTTTGTTGTTGTTGTTTTTGTTTTTCTTCCGGTACCGGGAATCGAACTCACGACCTTGTGCTTGCCAGGCAGGTGCTGTGCCGCTGAGCTAAATCCCCAGCCCCAGGAGAGATGAGTTTTAATTCAACATGTCCTTGCTTATCATTTTCTTGGTTATCCCCTGCCTGCATGGCCTGCATGGATGCTATTTATACCATAGCCATGAGTAGAATGTTTCGTTAAGTGTGTTGCAGGACTGCTGATCCTGAAATTAAACTGTTGTATACATGTGTGTTTCCTTGATTTATCCGCTCCACTCAGCTTTTTATTTTATTTTATTTTTTGGTACCGGGAATCGAACACAAGACTTTGCACTTACCAGGCAGGCACTTGTGCCACTGGGCTATATCCCTGGACCCCCACTCAGCTTTTTGCGATAGTAGTGCTTTTCAGAGCACAAGAGAAGATGTATTTGAGAGGTATTCTTGGGAAAGTTAAATGATAGACTGTGTTTCTGCCTATAAACCAAGCGGGCCACAGGAAATCTTCATGTTGACGGGGTAGCATAGTTCTGCCCCCCGTGGCCTGGGAGATGTTGTTGTTTGCTTACCAAAGGTTTTCTACTCTGTTCCTTGGGATGGCCAACCACTGGGTAACTTTTCATTTTCACTGGAAACCCTTTTGATTTCAAGATCCAAGATAATCTGTACGTTGAGTGTTTGGTGTGTTTTATAAAGATCCACTGTTCTCTCTAAAGAGATGATACAGGGGGAAAATCTTAATGTGTTGTTGTAATGGATTCCATCTTTATTATTTTCGAATAACTCAGGGACCTGTAACCTAGCAATGTGATTAGACTGTGATGTTGGCTTGAAAACTAAGGGTGGTGAATCATGGTCTGTGATTAATAAATATGCCGGGTAGATGTATTTTCCCAGAAGTTGAGGGTTGTTTCCTGTCGTTATCTTTACCCATATTCCATCTTTGGTTTCAGACCTTGCTGCTTCAGAGCCTCACACCAGGGAGATGTTCAGTCACTATTTTTGTTGTTGTTGTTTTTGTTTTCTGTTTTGTTTTGTTTTTGAGATGGGATCTTGCTATGTAGCTCAGGCTGGCCTTGAACTCAGTGCAATCATCCTGCCTCAGCCTCCCCAGTGCTAGGATTACAGGCATGCGCCACCATGCCCAGCCTGGAGAGTGTTCAAATGGGTGCAACAGACCAGATCAGTTGGAAAAGTAGAATTAATAATAATAATAGCAACAACAACAGTAATCAGAATTCCCTTGCTTGCATTCCTTTTTTAGAATGTAAGTTAGTTTTAGACAGTCTCCATATCACTTTGGATTACCTCCGTTATTGATGTACCGACGTACAGCAGATACAGCGGTGTAAAAACGTGTGCTGTGTATTTTTCACAGAACGTTTCCTGTAACTCGCTAGGAAGTGTTCTGAGTGTGCCGTACGTGTGTCACCATAGTAGTGCCTTAGTAAATCATCCCTCAAGCATTTCAGCTTCTGGCTACGGGTTGGAGAGTGTAACCTATCAGGGTTGGTGTGGCAGGAAGCCATGCTTTGCCTAGCTGCTGTCCCCCTGGCCACAGGGGTCATCGCTAATACTACAGTATAAAGAAAGATGTATTTCCTTTTTATTTTTTCAATTTCTTTCTTTCTTTCTTTCTTTCTTTCTTTCTTTCTTTTTTGTTTTGGTTGTTTTGTGTTTTCTGTATGATAACATGAGTTTTTTTTAGTCACTCAAAATAATTATATTCTTTGTAGAAAAGTCAGAAAGGACGGACAAGCCTAAATTAAAACCTCCTATAATCCTACACCCAAACACTGCCGCTGTTAACATCTTCAACATTTTTATGACGGTATAATTCACGCATCGAAAGCATATAATTCAGTGGGGCTTTTTGTCTATTCACAGGATTGTACATTGTTACACAATTTTTGTTTGTTTCTTTCTTATCTGCAGTCCTAGAGCTCAGACCCAGGGGCCAGGCGAGTGCTCCTCCGCTGACCTATAATCCGAGCCACACAGTCAGTTTTAGAATATTTTCATCATAATCAGAAGAAGCTCCCTTTTATGGGCTGTTACTCACCTTTTCTCCCCATGACTCCTGCTGGCAACTACTCAGCTTCCTGGCTCTGTACATGTATTTATTCTGGACATTTCATATAAATGAGTATGTGGTCTTCTGTTATTAGCTTCTTTTTTTTTGTTTTGTTTTTTGTTTTTTGTTTTTCATTTTTCTTCTGCTACCAGGAATTGAACTCATAATCTTGCACTTGCCAGGCAGGTGCTGTGCCGCTGAGCTAAATCCCCAGCCCACTGTTACTAGCTTCTTTGATCTAGCATCATATTCCCAAGGCTCACTCATGTTGTAGCACTTTTTTTTTTTTTGGTACCGGGAATTGAACTCAGGACTTCGTACTTGCCAGGCAGGCACTTGTGCCACTGAGCTATATCCCAGGCCCTTTATTTGTTTTTTGTTTGTTTGTTTGTTTTT